AGTGTCAAACATGGGCCTCATCCAGCCAATCAGCTCCTTCCAAGCCCCCAAGGTCATACTGAATAGTTCAGAAAGGACAAATGCCCCCATCATGAATGAGACTCATCGTTAAGGCTTTCTAGAACTTCCTAGTTTTAGAAGACTACAATCCCACTATGTGGCAGGCATGACCCTAAAAACAACCCCTAGGGTCTCTGTACTCTGGTCATGTACACACTAATCTATGCACTGCTATAAAGGGATTCCCCCCCCCCCAAAAAAAGGTAACTGAGCTCTAACTCAGCTGGTCAAAGATACAGCCGTTATTTGTGTGTGCCTAGTCAAATCAAGTAAGAACTTTAAAAGCCATCTATCTTCCAGCTGGTGGCAAGATAGCCTCATCGGAGGAATTGGGACCATAGGCAGATGTCAGGTGCTACAGCTGACTTGAGGATGAAAAGGGCCACATGAGCCAAGTGTGGCAGACTCGGGAAGCCAAACACTAAGCCCAGCTGCCAAGCAGCAAAGGGGCAGAGACGACAGCCTTGTGACAGGAAGCTGAGTTAAAGCAGCTATGTGAAGGAACTTGCACATGGCCCTACTCCAGATGAGAACTCAGCCTGGCAATTTCTCTTTCATGAGAGCCTGAGCAGAGCAACTCCCCCTGCTTCATACAATGGGGGTTAATCCATGAGGATCTGAAGCCACTACGCTCTTGGTAAATCACCAATAATAGTAATAGAAAACTTAACTGGGCGTGGTGGCACTCGGGGAGGCAGAGGTAGGCAGATCTCTGAGTTTGAAGACAGCCTGGTCTATGAAGAAAGCTCTAGGACAGGCAGAGCTACATAGAGAAACCCTGACTAGAGAAAAAAAGTAGTCATAGAAAATTCATATGTACTGAGATGACTGGACATCAGAATAATACGTCAGTAGGGAGGTGCTGGCCAAAAGATAAAGCCAGGATAGAAAAAGAAGCCCAGAGATGGATTTCCATAATGGTTTCGAATCCCAGGATCTAGCCAAGCATGCAGCCCGTCCCAGTCCCAAATGCTCAGATATGTCATCATTAAAATACTGTTGTTATTAAAGCCTGAAATCATTGATCTTTTGTCACATGAAAACAATCTCTGATACTTCAAAATATTCATCAACAGAAACTGAACTAAGACCCAATGTGATAGGCTGGGTGTTCACTTACATTGAAAAACGCAGCTGAGTATTCTAACAGAGGGAACATTTCTCAGCCAGCACAGGAGTCTCGAAGCTTTTCACAGGCTATTTTCTCAGAAGTAAAGCAATTTGGAAGGAGAAAGACATTTCAATCCAACCGTAAAGACAGTCTTCCAAATTTGTGGATTTTTTTGCATCCATGAATTCAACCCACCACAGGTTAACAATATAATTTTTAAACTGTCTATATTTGCTGCACAGAACCTGTTATTACTTTCACAATGCAGGATAACAATTATTTACTCTGGCTGTATCTTGTATCAGGTAATAAGCAATCTAATGACAATATAAAGCACAAGAGGAGCCGTGCGGAGGTTGCTCATGAAGACCACACCATTTTACACAAGGGCTTGGTAATCCGTGAATTTTTAACTGGGCGGTGGGCAGCGGGTGGGCTCTGAAGCCAATCCCAGAAGGATATCAAGAGATAACTGTATCTTCTCCAGGTCTGCATGGCCTCGTGCCAAAATACCTCTAACATACATTGTAGGTGCTAATGCACATGCATGTCCTCTTCACAGTGTCACATACATAGACACATGCAAAGGCCAAAAATAGTACTCCAGTGTCCCACTGCTCTACTTTTAACAAAATCCAAGGTATCTTCATACTGGAGAAACAAGGCATATAATGCTGAGTTACGACCACCAACATAATTCAACAGAGACTCAGCAACAGCCCTACGTGATGGGAGGGGTAACACTGTGTGTTGATGTTTTTGTGAGGACTTAAAAACATCACCTTCACACAATTACATAGGCTTAGAGTTAAGCTTTCTATTGATATCAGATCTTTGAGTATTGGCTTCATGTTCATCTTTATCTTATCACATAGATGAATTCTGGAAATTACAATGGTATTCTGCTGTTGCTTGCATGTGTAATGTCCCATCCTTGTCCTGTCCAGGCTGATAGATCCCAAATGAAAACTAGCTCATATTCTGTGATGTGCAGTCTGGGGTTTGGACAAGAGCTGTGACATCTGCCACCCAGTGGGTCACCAGGGTTGACGCAGCTGCTCCAGGGGGCTAGTTGGTTGATCCCCTCTCTTCACCACCACTCTGTGTATTCCTCACCTGAAGCAGCATGCTAAACAAGGAAGTTAACCTAATACTACAGAGAGGGGCCATCTTCCGTCAATAGTACATGAGTATTCTCCTTCTAGAACCGGCTAACCATCTCTCAAAAGCCCAACATGGCATGGTTGCTTGGTGGAGTGGGGTTACCTTAGATTCCTTTATCAACCTGTTAGTTTCCTCATGGCAACTGAAATCAGAAGTGGAATTTATGAGGTACAGAGAGTGAAAAACCATCCTCATTCTAGCTTTGAAGTGCTTTTTGGATCAGGGATCAATTCGTATTATGGACATGACAGAACAGCCCAGACAGGAGATAAAAATGGATGAGAAACACACTGGTTTCTAGTCTGGGTATCTTAAAGGGTGGGACCAGACAGCTCAGGTGAAAGGCCAACACACAGTTGGACTGTGAGCACTGATTCACAGCCCCGGAGGCACATGAAGAGCATAGAATAGAGACTAGAATCCTAGCAAAAGACCCAAAGTGGAAAACAAGAGCCTCCAGACTGATGGAGAAAGTGAGATTGATCATCCCCCTCCTAGGAATACTTTTCTGTATGTACATCCTACATTCATTAAAACAATATTCCGTGTGTGTGTGCGTACCATAGGATCATCACTTAGAGAAATATAAAAGGGTTCTTTTGTTAAAGAATTGAGTGTTCTGTTAAGTTTAACACACATTTTAGATTTTTCACTCTCTGGGATGTTTCCAGCAGTGAGTGTGGCCACACCATCCCTCACACCAAGGTATTAGCCTTACTTCTGCTGCCCCCACTCCAAACTGCTCTACATTCTCTTTCCATGTCCCAAACTTTCATCACAGCACAACCTGTGTGGAAGAATATGAGCCTACACACACATCCATCGCAGCACAACCTGCCTGGGAGAATGTGAGCCCGCACACACAGCTGGCCCCATGGACCGAAACAAAACCATGCTGAGCACTCATGTCCTGTGTTCCTACATCAGGCCCAATGGAGCCACCTTAGCCTGCAGTTGGCACAGGTCTCCACTTGGGTGTCCCAGCCCATGTACCGTTCATGCCTTCTGCAGACGCGATACAGTGGAGGACAGCAGAAAAACCGATTTTCAAGCAGAGCTTTCAGCAACGGCTCAAGCCATTTCAACAGTCCTGTCACTTCCAGTCTCAAGAATCAGCTTCTCACCAGGCGGTGGTGGCGCACGGCTTTAATCCCAGCACTCGGGAGGCAGAGGCAGGAGGATCTCTGTGAGTTTGAGACCAGCCTGGTCTACAAGAGCTAGTTCCAGGACAGGCTCCAAAACCACAGAGAAACCCTGTCTCAAAAAAACAAAAAACAAAAAACAAAAAAAAAAAAAAACCCAAAAGAATCAGCTTCTCCCAGAGCCTGGGAAGCTCTTCCCACATCACCCTTCCAGGCATGAGCATCAGAACAATCTGTTGCAGCGTCACATACAGCACAAAGGAAGGAGAGCTGCGTGTGCTGATTCTGGTTCATGGATAGCCTGTTTCCTTAAAACTCCCAACTCTTTCCACTGTGAGTCATGCGCAGTCTGAAGGCTGTGCCTGCACACACACAAAATAATAGCCTTCTGCATTCCCGTTTGTGTTATATTTATGATATTTCTCATGGATTTAGCCATTTAAATTGGCTTAACCAGACACCTGGCTTACCTTTAGTCATGGATTTCTATCAAATTCTATAATAATAATGATGATGATGAATTATAACAATATTATATAATAGTATCTATTATTAATATACCATAGTTGATATGATACAATTATAATAGTATATTATAATCAATATAATTATAGAAACATTGTATATTGTTATTATTCAAGAAAGGAAAACAAAAACCACCTAAATATTTAAATGCCTTTTATGGGGTCAAAAAACTAAGAGGGGGAAGAGAGACATATCTTCAAAATGCTGAATTAACCATCTGCCTGAAGCTGTTCCTTTCTCTTCTGGGCATCTGAGTATCAGGTCTACTTAGTTTCTCTGCTATGATCCTCATCAGAGACACCACATACCACCCACAGCTCCAACTCCATGAGGACAAGAGAAACCATATGAGGATTTCAAACCAGGGTCTGAAGCCAAGGCATTCAAAGCAGAAGGTACTCTAATTGTATCATACTGATTTCTGATATTACAATTCAATTACATATTTCAAAGGAACTCTAGAACAAGCTAGCTACCTAACATCCAGTGTAATGAGATGCTATTTAGATTGAAAATATGGTTCCCATATCTCAAAGTGTATGAAGAAAACATCAGATTTTATTATGCTCAGGGAAATGAAATAGTAAAACCAACTATGTCTGAGGTTGCAAACACCAGTCAGTGGGAAGCAGAGAAAGGGGAATCCAGCTAAAATTCAATTAAGAAAAAAAAAAGCTGTACAAATTTTAATTATCACAGCCCTGGTTATATAACCCCAAAGCAAAACTGGAAAGTCTAGAAAGAAGAGACAGCTGGACTAGGGTAAGGTTCAAGGTGTGGTGAGCATTCTCAAAAATGCTATTTTAAGCTTGCTCGCCCCAACACCAGGAAGAACATTTAGTGAAGTAACATCTCATCACCATGATGAAGAAGGTCACTTAAGAGCAACAGGATTGAAAGTTTTCCCTGGAAAGATATTTTCTAATGCTCTGACAGGGAATAGGCAACGCTGAGACTGGCTAGCTCATGTTTACATCAGCCGTGATGATTCCACCTACCTCATGGAAGTCCTGCTGAGTTCCAAAAGCATCCTTTGGCCAAATGGCAGCCCTCTGGTCTACTCTACAAAATACAAAGGAAAAATTATGTCTATTTGAAGGAACCATTTCAACAACTCACATTCATAGTTGGCTGCTACAGATACGGCCATGTTTCTGTTGGAAATCCCAAGTGGCACTCTCCCTGCTGAAGACATCAGGCTCCTTCAGTGGTCCTGAACACAGAGTATCTGAGCCCTGCCAGCCTCCCTGATCCTGACGCTCTCCACTGTCTCTCCGACCCTACTTCTCAGTCACCCAGGCCATCCCTGTTTCCTGAGCATATGGTCCCTAGTCTATTTAAAACACTGCACCTCCAGCCATCCTGGGTCTGGGATGCTTTACCCAGATCCACACACAACTGACTCTTGTCATGCAATCATGAGTTTGGCTCACATTCCCTTCCCTGAACAGGCCTTCCTGCCCTCCTCTTCCTGGCATAGGCAGTGGCTAGCAAGAGACCTCTGTAACAAGTTGAAGAAATGAACCCAGACCCATAGTGGTCCTTTGTCCTCCGCATGTGCAACCTAGTGTCCGTTCTCTCTCTCTCTCTCCCTCTCTCTCTCTCTCTCTCTCTCTCTCTCTCTCTCTCTCTCTCTCCTCTCCCCCCCCCCACACACACACATAAACACCACATGTACACACACTCGCAAAGGCTTTTTCCTGTCTCTTGATTGTTACAACAAATGCCATAGTCATTGCTGGGCTAGATAATGAAGCTGGGTTCTGCCACTAAATATTTCCTAAGAGGAAAAAAAAAAATGACCTGAAGCAAGGCATACGCCTTTGATCCCCTTGTTTTTAGTTTAAAAACAAAACAAGAAACCGTATCCTGTTAGATGTTCAGGTCCAAATCCATGCTTGTCAAGTCCTATGCCCAATGGCATATACTATGCTGCATTCTACAAGATTTTCTACAAGAGTTCCTATGTCACTATATAAACAAACAAATTATAGTCCTTATTAGAAGGCCAACTGTCTTAATGAATACGGCATAAGATGTTTAGCCCATAAATTACTTGTTCTAAAAAAGACTATTTGAGGACACAGTCATTTATAGCTAGCATACCAAGTCAATCTGAATACCAAAAGACAAAACATTTTCTGGACGGCTACCAAGGTTAATAAGTTCAGCTTGTCGTAACCCACTCAGAAAGGTACAGTAAGCAACACTGGAGGCCTAATTTCTTCAGGTAATAGGTGAGATTTTTTTTTTTTTTTATTCTGGCCACAAGTTGGGCTAACAGTGCAAACAATTGACTCCTAATGTCAAATAAAGCAGTGGCAAATCACAAAGACTGGAGAGGGCACAGTGAGAATGCACGCCTCATCCACACAGGGCCAGCATCTTCCTCCTATAGTCACCAGAAGACTCGGGCTCCCAGTCACCAGGTCAAGCACGGGCAGCCCCAGTGAGCAGAGAGTAAGGAGGACCTCAGGTTCACCTGCCCCATATCCTTCAATCCCCTGAGCCACCAATATGGCAAGCTAACAAAATGACTCTTTGGGACAGGGATTAAGCCATCCCTTCATTTCAAAATGTTAAATGGGTTCTAAATTTTTGTCATCTACAGTGGTTCTCAAACTACACTTCCACAGTTGCTATAAGCCAAGGAAAGCAGGAGAATGGTGTTTTTTAAAGATTTATTTTAATCATGGGTACATGTGCCTGATTATGGGAATGTGCATGTGAACACAGGGTGCATAGGGGCCAGAAGACACTGTTGTCACCTCTGGGGCTGCAGCTACAGGCAGCTGTGAGTCATCTGACTTGGATAGTGGCTTATCTTTCATCTTAACAAAACTGGGATTATTATTAAAATATGCCATTAGTCACCATAATTATATAATGATTCTACTGTGGCGTTTTATGTGCTTCTAGACTGTTGTAATAAGATTGGCGGGCTGCTTCCCACCACCCGGCTAGCTTTACCCGAAATAATTACACGGAAACTGTATTCTTTTAAACACTGCTTGGCCCATTAGTTCCAGCCTCTTCTCGGCTAACTCTCGCACCTGGACTAACCCATTTCTAATAATCTGTGTAGCCCACGAGGTGGCTTACCAGGGAAGATCTTAACCTGCGTCTGTCTGGAGTGGGAGAACCATGGCGACTCTCTGATTCAGCTTCTTTCTCCCAGCATTCTGTTCTGTTTTCTCCGCCTACCTAAGGGTTGGCCTATCAAATGGGCCTAGGCAGTTTCTTTATTAATAAGAAATCACTCCCACATCACTAGACTCCCTGTGTTGTTCTAACACAGCTGGCATTAACAGTAAGCATCATTTACAATCAACCCTTCATATCCTATGAGGTAGCTAATACTATCCTCTCTAGGCTAGCCAGGTAGGAGACAAAAGACAAACGAGCCATAGAGGTTGGGCTTTAGCTCATTGGCAGAACCCTTGCATGGCAAGTGAAAGGCCCTGGGATTTGGATCCTGGATCTGATGAAGAAATAAAAACAGAAAGTCATGAGGAAAATGGAGAAGCATTATAAGGACACAGGAAGTTAACCAGGGCTCGTTCCATAGCGGCCAAAGACAAAGAAGTTTTAAGAAAGAAAAGTCTCAAGAGGAGTCCAAGATGTCACCAGCCTTCATGTGTCTGGCTGGACATGTCAGGTGGTTTAATCAAATGACTTCATTTAATCCCCAAGAGCCACCCAAGAGATTAGCACACACCCACTAGCCAATAGGAGGAAGGGTAATTAAATAGTCTTATTATTCATTCAACAAGTGTTTATTAAGCATCAATTATGTAGAATAATCGAGATCAAGTGCTGGGCAGTGCATAAAAAGTCCACTTTTAGAGACTCTGCATTTCCTTTTTAAAGATTTATTTCTATTTTTTATGTTTTGCCTGCATATGTATCTGTGTTATTACATGTGTGGCTGGTGCCCAGAGAGGCCAGAAAAGGGCAACGGATCCCCCTGGGGCTGGAGTTTCTGGTTGCTAGCTGTCATGTGGGTGTTAGGAATCAAACCAGGTCCTCTGGAAGAGCAGCCAGTATTCTCAACTGTCAAGCTATCTTTCCAGCCCTGGAACCTGTATTTTCATGAAAGGAGAGAGGACATAAAAACTGAATAAGCCAACAATAATCTATGACTCACCAGATGCCAAGATCTAAGGAGAAAAGCAAAACAAGACACAGAAACCAGGACTTGTAGAAGATTGGGCCAAGTGGCCACAGCCAGACAGTGCCAATCACCCAGAGACAAGGAGAATGACAGCCTGAGTTAAGAGCATTAAAGGTCACGGTGAAGAGGAGAAAGAAAAAGGAGTTTTGTTGGAAAAGCTCAGTAGTAGCTGAGGAAATAAGAATGCCACTGCATTCAATTCCCCCTCCCTCACACCCCTAAGACAATGATCCAGCCACGTACAATCCTGCCAATACGTGATACCTGCTCCATGCTGAAACTCTCCATTCCGTTACCGCTTCCCACCATCACAACTACAGGCAAATGGCTTCATGCCTCCATCAAGCCCATGCTTCCGGAAGGCAAAGACAAGCAATACAGAACACTCTCCCAACTCCGTCACAACTTTGATTCCTAGCCCAGACCTAGGCCACGGTCATGCAGCATGTACTCCTAAGAGCCCAACAGTGGTCCTCAATCCTGACGCCTCATCGTTACAGATACCATCACTGTGGTCGCAGCCCTACCAGTCGCCACACCATTCCACAATGAGCATCTTCACCACCATCAGCAGCATTGCCATTACAGATAGCATCTTCACTAAGAGCATCCCAAGCAATGCCGCCAACACTACCTCTAATATCACACAAGCGATACATCCCACCATCACCCAAACATCAATACCACCACAAGCGGTACCTATGACATCACGATGAGCAGTATCACCACTGTCTCCACTGTGTTATCACTATTGCCATGCTCCTGCCATCAGCACCTAAAAACACCTCTATCACCATGAAACAGCAAATAAAAATGCTAATACTCAAAACCACTCTTCAATAGAAAAATGCAAAAGTAATTATAGGCTGATATTAAAACAGTTTCTGCCCAGAATCTGCACTTGTGAGCGTGTGGACAGCCATTGAAGGGTAGCAATAAAAACTGGCATTCCCAATTTGCTGGATCCCTGAAACACGAGCTGAGTCAGGCTGCAGGGCTGGGCCCCTCTGGGGAGGTGTACAGGAATTCAAAACAGCAAAACCAATTAAGCATTAAAATATTTTTCTTGGCCCCAAGACAATGCCAAACCACAGGATGCAATCGTTTGTGGAAGAAGGGCCATGTTTTTAACTCCGGATTTTAGTCTCAAATCAACATTTTAACTTTAATTTAATTAGTAAATGGGAGAACCCTGTCTCAATCAACGAAAAGCTTCCATCGAGCCAGTGGCTGACAGAAGCTGAAGTCCCCTAAACTATATCTCGTTCAAGCCCAACAGTCAGTATGTGACTACTGCTTCAATTTCTTACTGCAAATGACCTGTTTATCTGTCCCCTCCTCTCCACACTCCCCACCTCTACTGCCATCTTAAGCAAAGCTACTATCATCTCTCACTGGAGTAACAGGGGTCTCCTTCTGGTCCCCCTACCCTTTCTTCCCCAGAGCATACCACACATAAGATCTGACCACCCACTGTTCTCTGTCCACTGCAAAGAGTACAATCCTAAGACAGTCTACTAAGGATTCACCGGTGGTTGTTTAATGAGTTAGACAACATGGCAGGAAGAGTAAAGGGCCATCCTCTAACAGTGTGAAGACTTCCCAGTTCTCCCACTCCCCCATTCTCACACTGTCTTATGACATCGGAAGGAGTGAACCTGGTGCATGCCTTCACCCTCCACTCATGCCAGGTCCCATCTGTGCTGTGGTTATGAGGGCATCCCTCCAGCTCCGCACACTCACTGAGCTCCTTCCAAGCTCATGCCTTCAGGATGTCCTTGTGCCTACCATGCTCCTTCCCAATCCTCTTGGTCTCTGAATGAACTCATTTATCTTTTAGATATCATGCATGCCTCTCCCAAATGTGTCTTCATTTTATACAACTTGT